CACTGTCCACCATGGGTGCCCATTACCACGATTGGCACATCACTGTCACAGTCTTCAGCATAACAGCAACCACGAGTTACCTCTGTACAGCAATGAACAGACCAGTGCTATACCACCTAGAAGAATGTATAACATATAATTAATTAATATAAGTAAAATCTTGCTGAAGGTTATCCAGAAACAGAACACTATATCTTTAGAGAACTGCCACAGGTTCATTCTGGATTTAGAAGAAGCCATGCTACTGGGGACATTGTTGCTGATGTCGGATGGATGATGGCCGAAAACAGAAATGCCAGAAGAATGTTATTTGTGGTTTATTGACTATGCAAAGAATTTGACTCTGTAGATCATAATCAATTATGGCTATCATCCATGGGAGTACTAGAACACTTGATCGTACTTATGTGAATTCTGTACTCAGACCAAGGAGCTGTAGTCCGAACAGGGCACGTGTTTAAAATCATAATTGAAATCAACTCTGCCTCTGAAATATTATCTTGAATCTACCATTTTCTCATCTTCCCCACTAGTAAAGCTTTGTTTCAGGCTTCATTAGTCCTTACTCATACCATTGCGCTAAGGCAGTTGTGGTGGCAAGAAGATGAATTTCAACCTTAAGACATATGGTTCAAATCCACTAGCTGCTCAGTGGGGAAAAGATGTGACTTAAAGCCTCTAAAAGCCTGGAGGTTTAGCTATGAGTTGGTTCTGACTCGATGGTATACAACAACAGCACATCATTAGAACAACCTGCACTTAATCTTTTCACTCAGGCCCACAGGCCATCTGAAATCCAGCAGCCAGAGTGATCTTTTTGAAAGATATTTCTAAAGCAGGCCTTCCCAAAAAATAAAATCCTTGTGTGCATGAAAACACTTTTCCAGGAGGGTAAAAACAAAGTCTGCAGATTGGGGGAAAAATACTTGTTAATGACATTTCTGACAGGAGAGTCATAACTAAAATGTACAGACTATTAATATGCCTCAACAAGAAAAAGATTGATATAACTCAATTTCAAAATAGAAGACATGAAAAGACTTCACCACTGAGGATATTCACATGGCCGAAAAGGTGAAAATAGAAATCACATTTGACCCAGATAGTCTACTACTGGGAATATATTCACAGAAATCACAGCTGAATACAAACAGATATATGTGTACCTGTATTAATTGTCACTGTGGTGGCCTAGTTGTGAGAAGCTGTGCTGCAATTCCAAAGGCACACAGTTTGAATCTACCCGATGTTCCATGGGAGAAGGATGGGCAGTCTCTTCCTATGCGACTTACTGTCTCAGAACACACTGGAGGGCCAGCTATGGGTTGACTCTGACTCAGTGGCAAACAACAACACATTTTTTGCAGCATTATTTACAATAGCAAGAAGACTGAAACAACAATCTTATTTGTGGGACATTCATACATTGAAATACTATGCAGCAGTGGAAAATAATGAAGCACTCATAAAACACCACACATCATGGACAATTGTAGCAAACCTTATGCTGAATGAACTAACTTAATCACCAAAGGACCAGTTGAGACTGTATTGAGACAATTAATGTTCTAATAGGAGGGTGATTGCACAATCTTGGGGGCATTGGAGACAGGGAAACAGAAATAGAATACACAGATGATGAGCATTAAAGGATTGAGAAGGGAGGATCAACTTGGAAAGAAGGGAGAATTGACAGTGGGTGTTACATTTAACAACTTGGATTATTTAATAAATAGGACATGTATAAACTATTCAGAGGAGAAGAGGAGGTTAGCACAGAGCAGGGAAAAATACTAACGCAGCAAAGTTTCCCAGATGTAATCCTCTCTATATCGGAGATTAGGGGTGTCAGCCACACCCCCAGGATAACTAAGGGTGACGATTTGGGTCATACCTTGTAGTTGGGTGCAGCCTCAGGATGTATCCCTTTCTAATCCCACTTCCTCACTACAACAAATAGCTCCTTCTCAAATGGGATCTTTAAATATATGTGAAAGCTAGAATCACAAAATGGGAAGGTATGGCTGGCCTCATTACTTCCTTACTGTACTTCCTTTACTTAGTTTCTTAGCTCAATCTAAGGAGAAGTTTTTAGATTTATGACTCTTCTGTTACATAAAGTATAATAATAATAATAATTGTGTATGCTATATTAGATCACCTGTTGTAATTTTTATGCGATTACAACCTAATTCTGTTTTTATTAGTAGATTATTTTTTTTAGAGGTGTTTTTTAAAAAAAAAATATAGGTAACTAACTTGGTTATCTTTTTATGATATAAATTAATTAACAGAAACTTTGCTCCAGATCCTCCTTGGTGGTATATATCTTTGTATCATACTAGCAGCAGGAACCGATGCTCCATAAAGGATAATAGCTTCCAGTACACTATTCCTCCTGATGACTCCATAAGTGGTTCATCATCTGCCTCTTCATGTGAACCAGTAAGTGATTTTCCACCATCCTTCCGAAAATCTACCTACTTGCCGAAGATAAGAAGTATCAAGCCAGCAACCCCTTCCCATGTTGAAGGTATCTGTTTCACTTATTCCAAAGGCTCTCTCTAGAAAATATTAAATGCCACATGTGTGTCTCAAATGATTAAAATTTAAACTGCTAGGCCAATATGTTTTAGCTTCAGAATTTTCCCTTTATCTTGCAGAGTTAAATTCTGCTGATCAAACTCCTTTATATTTAGTATCAATCAGCTTTTTTCTCTTCATGTGATTTTAACTTCTTTCCCGTTCTGGTTTGTTCCTCTGTTAAAGGCTTAAGAGCTGGCATACAGGTTATTCTGGATAGAATATTATCAGTGTGGTCATATTCTCAAGGGACATTGTAGCTCTCTGTCTTGAACAGTTTTTTCCTTTTGCTTTTGAACAGAAATCTTCAAATTAAAATTTTCAGAAAGTATAATGCCCAAAGAACTTTACTATGTGTTTGGGGCTATTTAAAATGAAGATGAATACAAACGTAGGAGGAGATTGGTTGATTTGATGAAATGTCATACCAGCGTCTCCAAAAATTGTCAAAAATGTGTGAGGCATCTGTTTATTATGAAGACTGCCTTGGGGGACAATAAAGTACCTCGCTGATGTTTTTGTGAATAATGTTTTGAAGACAGGGCTAGATGTTCATTTACAAACCATACTAACTTTTTGTTCCCTTTTGTTTTGTTCTGTGGTGCTTCAGGGTCCGGTGGAATACCAGCCAAAGGAAAAAGGAAACCCAGGTTTGAAGAAGATGAAGACTATAGAGAATTTCCTCAGAAGAAGCATAAGCTTTATGGTAAAGTGGTATTTCACTGTTGTTTCACCCTTGGCTTTTTAACTTAGGGTTAAAGAGGCAAGAGACCTTAGATTTTAGCCCTTGAAGGACTTCTGCGCTTTTTCGTTTTAGAGGAAGAAATGACCTTCATCCTGCTTTATTTTACCTTTTCACTGTTAAGGTTTATGAGAATCAAATCAGTTAAGAGAATGGGGATGCTGAAAGGAAGAAGAGAAAATTTTAGTATTTAAAGAGGAATTCATTCACCCCAATATTTGCATATAATTAATTTTTTTGTTTCTTCCAGCATATTTGCTGAGAACATATGTGCACAGGATAAATGATGAGAGTCTTAATTTTCTTTTTTAAAAAAAAGAGGGGAGGAATTAAAGGGGTGCTCACTCTGGTGGTAAGAAGCTGCATGCCAGCCCCAAAGGTGCGTGGTTTGAATCTGCCAGATGCTCCACTGGGAAAGGAAGGGCAATCTCCTGTGCCAATTGGATCTGATTAGAGGGTACACAATGAGGAGAAGAAGAAGAAAAAGAAATGCCAATCAAGTTTGGCCCTAAAAAAGGAGGAATTAGCTGAGGCAGCATGTTGAACTTGAAAGTTTCTCTCTCATATTAGGGAGGAAACAACGACCTAAAACTCAGCCCACCCCCAAATCCCAGACTCGTCGAATTCGGAAGGAACCACCAGCATATGCAGCAGGTATGTTTCTGGCAGAGGCTTGTGGGATCTGTCTCTCTTACTCTATCTAGTGAATAAAGACTATACTAAAGCATAACTGTAAGGAGGTACTTAAGAAAGACATTCACCTAGAGGTTAGGAGGACACTTAGTCAGCTGTAGACTCTTCCTAATTTTCTGGTTTGTTCTGTTTATTTATTTTCTTAAAGCTTCTGTTTCCCTGTCCTCGTAGTTGTGCCACGGAGTTGTTTCATGTTCATAGTAACCCTTTCAAATAGAATGGAAATGCCCTATAGGACTTCCCAGCTTGTATTTTTTTTTCTCCTATTTTTTTATTCTTTTTAATCATTAATGATTTTTTAATGCAACATATATATATATTTTACAGCATATTCTTTACATTTAATTTTCCCCCCATTCATTCATTGTTCCAGCTTGTATTCTTTGTGAAATCAGATGGTCACATGTTTTTCCCAAGAGCCACTGGTGGGTTTGAATGGCTATTGTTTTGGTTAGTAGCCAAGTCCGTAACCAGCGCACCACCAAGGCTCTTTTTCCCTGTGTAGGGATCATAAAGGCAAGCAAGATATTTATGAAAATTAAATGAGATAAAATAATTTCAATAGTCTTAATGACATAGGAAACATTAGTAAACTGACTTTATATATCTTAGTACCCCGGTACTATATCCTGCTAGGAAAACTGTTATCCAGTTCTTTAAGGTCTTTGCCTTTCAAGCGGTTCTCAAAAGTTTTTTGTCAAGGGGAAAATGGGTAAGGATTTCAGGCAAACATTTGTGTGTGAGAAAACAAATTCTTGCATTTAAACAGAGTCTATATTAATTTCTACCAGGAAGGAGAAAACCATTTTATGATATTTTTGTTCGTATCTGAGATTGTGTTGTTTCTGCAAATTAATGTGTGTGTTGCAGAGTATGAAGTGTTCCTTTCTCTCTTGTAGGTAGTTTGGAGGAGCAGTGGTACTTAGAAATCGTGGATAAGGGCAGTGTCTCCTGTCCTACTTGCCAGTCAGTGGGCAGGAAAACCATAGAAGGTTTAAAGAAGCACATGGAAAACTGCAGACAGGTTAGGATCTCTAACTGTTAGGATCTTTCTCTCAGACTTTAGAATTTTAGTATTATGTCCAGTATGCTGATCATGATAGGTAAAGGCAACAGTATGTAATAAAGAAAACAAAGGGTTTCTTACAGATGTAGATTTTAAGTCTTAATTCAGCTTCTTATTAGTTGTGTCATTAGGGGGTTGGGGGGGCGAGTGTGTATGTGTGTGTGTATGTTTATGAACCTTGGTTTATTAATTTCTAAAAGGGAGAAGAAATACCTTCTATAGATGGCCTTTGTGATGATAAAAAAAAATATCATATATGGCAAATTCCTAGCCCATTCCTTAGCCAGTAAATAGTGGTTCTTACTATTTTAAAAATGAGCTGCCTTTACTTTACCTATCACGATATGTACTTAGCTTGTGGGGTTTTGAGATTCACTGAGTATTGATTGAGTCTGGGAAGTAAAGCAGACAGGGACAAAGATGATGTTGAATAGTAGAACTTTGCAACATTCTTGCTCTCTGATAGGTAGCCTGGATTGAGCAGAATTTATTTATTTATTTTCATTTTAGGAACTATTTACTTGTCATCATTGTGGGAAGCAACTTCGCTCAATGGCAGGGATGAAGTATCATGTCATGGCAAACCATAACAGTTTGGTGAGTGTGGCCTTTGTCCTCTGAAAGCTTTCATGGTGTTTAGATATCTTCTTTGTAGGTGAATAGAGACAGCTCAGCAAAGGTGGCATGGGCTCAAGGAGGTTATAGGGATGTAAGAAGACCCTTTTGATACAAGAGTTACAAATACTAAAATATGTACAGTGGAATCCATAGCTAATTGTGCATTTAATTTAGCCTCAAAAGATCATATGCTGGGGATATAAATAGGGATAATAAATGCAAGTGGTGATATAAATGGATGTAAAGGCAGGTGGAATTGTTGTGGAAATTAAATGGGATGATTTTGAATAGTCTCAGGCATACAGAAAACATTCCATAAATGCTCTGTTACATATTTTTGTATCTTATCCCCTTCTAGGAAAATTGTTCCAAACTCATTTTTCTTATGCTTACTTATTTCCTTGTTTACTTAGGTTAAAATAGAGAAAGTCAGTCATCAGATAATAGTCTTCATGGGTATTTGCTAGCTCAGTTTTTTCCTTTTTTTTATGGTATCATTAATCTGTATGTGTTTCCCCTCCTGAATTATCTCCATTTGTGCTTCTTTTGCTTTCTAGCCCATTTTGAAGGCTGGAGGTGAACTAGATGAGCCAAGTGAGAGAGAACGACTCCGAACGGTTCTAAAGAGACTTGGGAAGATCAGGTGCATGCGTGAGGTAAGCGCTCAAGGCCAGTAACTACCCTGGAGGCCATTGTCTTTATGTTCTTCTATTCCATTTTTACTTTTTAGTTCCTAGTAGCACTCCTATTTCTGAACTATCTTTTAGTATAAGAACAGTTTCTGTTTATCTCTTCGACTCTTTTATAGTTTGGAGGGTTTTTTTGTATTCTTAGTAGTTCTTTTTTAACTTCCAAACCTTTTTTTAAAATCTCCTTTTCTTTTTGATTAAAGAGGTTTCTGTACCATCTTTTCTTTAGTGTGATGAAGACAATCCTAGCAACCTCCCTGTGATAAACTTTATTGTCGTTCATTTGATACTGAGGCTTGGTCGGATTATAAAACAGGAAGTTCTGACTTTGAGTATGTGCCTAATAAAAGTTTGTTGAATTTAGGAAACAGTTTAAAGTATTCAAATTAGTTGGGACAGGAACAAGGAAATTCTGTGCCATTCAGGACTAATGGAAAAGCTCTGGTGATAAGCAAGAGGTCCATTTATATGATGTGGTGATGGGTGCTTTGTAATTGTTTAGGAATTTCGTGGCCATGTTAGCAGATATAAGATTAGTTTAGACCTCTCTTCTTTGTTCAGAGTTGTTCTAGCACCTTCACCAGCATCATGGGATATATGTATCATGTCAGAAAATGTGGCAAAGAGGCTGCCGAACTGGAGAAGATGACCCTGAAATGTCACCATTGTGGAAAGCCATATAAATCTAAGGCTGGACTTGCGTATCACCTGAGGTCGGAGCATGCACCTGTGAGTACTGATTTACTTTGCAGAGTTTGGAGATGTATTCTGTGGTTACTACTTACCCCTCTATAGTCTATAGCATTACTTCTTCCTTTATACCCTCTGGTGGTCTAGTGGATATGAGAGCTGCACTTTTAACCTAAAGGTGGAACCTGTCTGGCAATTCAGTTCCACCATTTACTCCTTGAGAGAGAAAGATGGGTAGTCTCCTCCTGTGCATTTGATGGCTGAAGGGTCAACTATGAGTTGGTTCAGATTCAGACTCCATGACAATGAGTTTGAGTTTTTTTGAGTTTGTGTTATATGGTAAATACATATTGAACTTTATAAGGAGCTCCAAACTGTCTTCCAGCTGTTCTGGTAGAATTCTAACTGCTCTCCATCCTTTCCAACCTGTGTTAGTGTCAGCTTTTTTATTTTGTTAAGCCTTCTGACAGATTCTGGAATTGTATTATGGTTTTAACTGACCATCTTTTCATGGACTATTTATATTTCTTCTAAAGTGAATTATCCGTTCACATCTTTATTTTTATAGCCTTTGTTGTCTTACTTAGTTTTGGGGAAAAAATTTTCCCTTAAATCTTCTAGATATAAATCGGTTTTTTTAAAAAAAAATTATTATTCATTTCAATGAAAATTTACAGAGACTTTGGGTTTCCATTCATTCATTGTTGCCCTTTTCTCCCCTCCCAACCCTCCCTCCTAGTACACTACCCTCTTGGAAAAGTAAAAGAAAAATTCTTTCATTGTTTTACAATCCCTCCCCCCACGTCCACTCCACTATGCAGCCTTCGCTCTGGACTGCTGTCATGACAAAAATACCTAATCACATAACCCTTTTAAACAGTTTTCTCCTTGTTGTTGCAAACCGAGGGTAAAGTATTTACTATAATTATTAATGAGACAGACAGCCAGGAATGAGATAGAGAGCATGAAAAACAGAGGGCCAGCAGTTCTCTACTAAAAGACCCCCATTCCAGCTTCCCTGTATCTTTATTGAAAATTATCAGGAAGTAAATCACAAAGAGAATTCAGTGCAAATGAGGCCAGGCTCTTTCTATTGACAACCTTCCCCTTAGACTCAGGAGGGAAGGGTCAGCAAATGCAAGAATCTGGTAAACCCTTAAGGGTTGCCTTAGTGCCTCAGGGTGAACTCTAGCTTGAACCAGGCCTCCCCTGCATCCTGAAATAGCATTCATTTTATTACAGATATTTAGTATTGGCTTCCCATAATCTGTTTCAATGCAGTATACATTATTGAATCCATCTTTCTCAGTCTCCCCCCAGCGCTGATGTCAGTCCTGTTTTACGACAGTGGCACCATGCAGTATTTGTCCTTTTGTGACTGAGATACTTTACTCAGCATAGTGTCCTCCAGGGTCACCCATTTTGAATAATATTGCATGAGTTCCTTGTTTTTCAACGCAGCGTAGTATTCCATTGTGTGAATATAACAGCTTCTCTATCCATTCATTTGTTGATGGGCACTTAGGTTGTTTCCAATTCCTTGCTATTGTGAATAAAGCTGCGATAAACATGGGTGTGCATTAGATATAAATCCTTTAATGAGAAATAAATTTTGCAAATATTTTCTCCCAACATAGTGCTTGTTTTTAAATTTCTTTAAAAGCAGAAGATTTTATCAATTTATCTTTTTTCTTTTATGGGTAATTCTTTTATTATTTTACCTAAGAAATTTTGGTCTAACCCAGTGCCCTATTTTTTATTGCTGCTGTATAAATCACCATAACTTTAGTAGCTTAAAGCAGTACAGAGTTATGTCCTAGTTAGTTCTTTAGTTCAGGTACAGTGTGGTTCACCTGAGTTCTCAGTTTAGAGTCTTTTTTTAACAGGCAGAAATCAAAGTATTGGCAGATCTCCCATCAAATACCTTTACTGACTACTCACATCAGTGTTTGATTAAATAACTGGGATCTATAGCCAATTTGATACATCGGTTAAAACCATATGAAGAATAACAAACATTTTCTCCCAGGATTTCCTCTGGAAGTTTTAGATTGTACATTTATTTAGGGCTGTGATCCATTTGGTCTTACTTTTTATTTGTCATATGAAATGTGACTTAAGTGTGCATGAATACATAGCTATATTTAAAAAAAGACAAAACCACCAAATGCCATTGATTTGTTTTTTTAAAAAAATATTTTTTACATTGGTTTGCATTCAAAATTATATATACAATTTTTTTCATAGTTTCCTTCATTCACATTGTGTTTCATATAATCATTCCCATACATTGTGATTTATAAAATTAATCACTGTGGAATTATGCCCACTCTTTTCAGATCCCTATCAGATCTTTCCCATTTCCTTTAATCCCTTCCTCCACCCTACTTTTATTTTCATAATAGCAGATTTTATCCTGCTTACAAGTTTTTTTAGTCAACTTTAACCAAAATTTTTAACATTTAAAATATGCATAATTCTAGTGGAACTTGCTCTTGGTGACTAGCAAGCCAAGGAGATACTTCTTGATAATAAGAGCAGGAAGGACACTTTTTCATCACCAGCTCTATCTGAAGCCACTCACCAGGTCTGTTTTTACCTCATTCTTGTAGATACCCTTGTTCCCTGAGTCAGGACAGTCAGAGTGCTTAAAGGACATGAGCTTGGAGTCAAAGAGTGGGGGTCGAGTTCAGAGGCGGTCCGCCAAGATAGCTGTATACCACCTGCAGGAGCTGGCCACTGCCGAACTGGCCAAAGAATGGCCCAAGAGAAAGGTACTTCAGGACCTGGTACCTGATGATCGGAAGGTAAGGTAGAAGCTTATATTCATTTGCTTGTATTCATTTTTTGAACCATTATGTTTAATTCTATCCTTAATATGTACAGAAAAGTAAATGCATTTGATCATAGAAGCGTTTTGCTGCTTTATCTTTGAAGATGGAGTATGTATGATCCAGCTTCAGAGTTTAGATTGGAATAGTTTAATAAGAGACCATTTCACAAATGAAAATTTCTTGATTTAATCCTGGACTGCTTACAGTGGGAATAGCAATTCTCTATTTATCTTGATGTTTTCCCCTATAGTCCTTGTCCACTGTGTTTCCACTTTGTTAGTTCATATGTAGTAATTCTTACCTAGTTTAGCTAAGTAGTTACAGTTTCAGGATGGTCTCAAACATACTTCTGTACAGGTACAGAACCCAGTTGGAAAGTCATTCATTTAGAGTCAATTATAAAAAAGAAAGAACTGTTTCTTGCCTCTGATCCAGCTCAATTTAAGTCTGATAGGATGCCTAAACTTACCAAGCCCCATGTTAGCTAAATTTGACACACTTTATTTCTATGGTCTCATGCCAGAAAGTGTCCTTTACCTTATTTACATCATTAGAAAACTGTCCAGTTCTTTTGGTAAACCACAAACATCTCACATGTACATGATTGTATTCTAGTGACTCTCTGAGAGAGAAATGCATAATCTCCCATCCTTGGAAACCCAGAGGAGAGTCAGCTGTGAGTCAGTTCTGACTTGACAGGAATGAATGGATGACCTAGCTGTGTAATCAAAGTAGGAAAGACAATGACCAGAAAAGCCATATTAATCCATTACAACAGGTTTTCAGGTTTGGCTGTCAAGGGCACAGCTATTGGGAGCTCTTTGAAATGAGCTTCTTTTTGACCCCATCATTTTTTAGGTTGCTTTCTGGTACCATAAGATGCTGTAAGCTTATTTTGTATTTTTCCTGCCCTGCCCTAGAATCAGTCATTTTGCTAAGGAACTCTGGTTTCTTTAATTGAATATATTTAGAAACCAAGATCTAACTGCTAGATGTTAGAATATCATTTTTTCCAGTCCCTTTTTGGTGGTGGTTGTTGTTATATATTGTTGAGACACCTGAAACCCATAGCGACCCTACGTACAGCACCCCTGAACCTGAGCCAGTCTCACTAATTCCAACACACCAACCCCCATTGCCACAGTTTCTTTATCAGTCCATCTCATCCAGAGTCTTCCTCTCCTGCACTATCCCTCCACCCTTCTAAGCATGATGTCCTTCTCTATGGACCAGTCCCTCCTGGCCATGTGCCCAAAGTATGTGAGATGGAGCATTAAAATTGTAGCCTCCAAGTGGAGACTTGATTTCATCCTCTCCAAGACAGACCTATTTGTTTTCTTGGCAGTCCATGGTATGTTCAAGACTTCTCCAGCACCACAACTCAAAGACAACAGTGATTGTTCTGTCGTACTTCGTCATTGTCTAACTCTCTGATGCATAGCAAGTAATTGTGAAGACCATGGCCTTTATTATTAGGCACACCTTAGTCTCTAGACTGACATCCCTTTTTGGTAGTTGTAGATTTATGTGTATTCATGTACACATATTTTTGTTGTATCAACTTCATCTGACACAGTAGAATTGTTCCATACAATATTCTGGGGGGGAACAGATTGCCAGGAACTCCTTATATCTGTGGAACTCCATAATTACATAGCCTGAATAGTTGCTTGTGAAATGAAGTCAAGGATATCATCCATAAAGAAAGCAATAAGTCATTACAGAGACAGAAAGAAAATCCCAAGTGAATGTCAGAAGGAACTATGAAAATTGCTCCTCAAAAGGGAGTTCAAGAAGACAAAGTATTATGATGTGCAAAGAACTGGAATCAGAAGAATAAAAAGGGAAGAATCCATTCAGCAAGCTGAAAGAAAACCGGTATGTCTTAGAAAAAGTGCAGCCAGAAAGCTTGGAGAAAGCTTCATCTCTCCTACTTTGGATGTGTTGCTAGAGAGGCTATTTCTTGGAAAAGGATATTGTGCTTAGAAGAGTGGAGGGTCAATGAAAGAGAGGAAGGCCCCATTGAGTTGGATTGACACGGTGACTGTAGCAGTGGGCTCAAGTGTATCAGATCATGAGGATGGTGCAGGGTAGTACGAGATTCAGGTCTGAGGTTTGTAGGGTTGTTGTGAGTTGTGCATGACTTGGTGGCAGCTAAGAACAACAACAAAGAGCTGGAAATTAGATTCTTCTAATAAATTCTTTTTGTCTTCTAGTTAAAATATACCCGCCCTGGGCTACCAACCTTCAGCCAAGAAGTACTACACAAATGGAAGTTAGAGGTTAAGAAGTATCATCGCATACAGTGCCCTAACCAGGTGGTTCTTTCTTTTTCATTTATTTAGTAAATGTTCTTCCAGTATCTGCTATTGTTTCATTTGTTTAGTGCTTTTTGACAATGCCCCCTGTGCTTAAAGCAACATTATATTCATAGTTCTCTAGATCAATAATACTGGCGATCTCTGGACTCAAGGGGATATTTGTCCTGCTCTGCAGAGCATCTGCTGAATCATTAATAGGGCTGGATTTAGCTAGAACCTCTGCTTTCCACATGACCTCTGTCTTCAGCATGGAGATTGACATCTAATAAACAGTGTTCCTAGGACATTAAAGAAGCTACATATCTTCTGGGGCTAAGCTTACTAGTTGTACACTATTTCTTATGTGGTTTTCTGTTAGACAGAGCCATGCCAAGGGTAACTCACTTTAAAACTCAAACCAGACTTTTTGCCATCAAGTTTCTTCTGACTCATGGTGACCTGCTATTGGGTTTCTAAGGCTGTCAATCTTAAGGGGAGCAAACAACTTTATCTTCCTCCTGAGATGTAGCTGTTGGATTCAAACCACTGGCCTTTCAGTTAACAGTCCAACATGTAACCTGTTGTGTCACCAGGGCTCCCTTAATGCCGATTCAGGGGAAGAGCCAATAAATGCCACCTCTTGATAGGAAGAATGGCAGAGCATTTTTTGCTATATTTAATCTATCATGACTGTATGCACTTTGAGGAAGACTAGATATGGATTGGTAGTAGAATACATTTGTACTTAAAACAGACTTTTTAAAAAAATCTAGCTTTGTAATTTTTTTATTTCTTTGAATGTCAGAGAAAGTGGCTTAAGCTTTCCCAATCAACTGTGCCATTTCTTCAACACCTTCTTTATTTCTTTGGTTTTCCATCTTTTTGTAATTTGCATGTTGTAGATTCTTCTGTTTTGTTGATGATTCTATCAGTTGATCATCTCCCTCAGATCATTGGAGTTGTACAGACTTTCAAAAGAATGATGCTATTTGGCATAATCTTCACATTATGTCTTTCTTTTCTAGGGATGCGAGGCTGTCTACAGTAGTGTTTCTGGCCTCAAAGCTCACCTGGGTTCTTGCACATTGGTTTGTAATCTGAATTTATTAACATAATGCTTTAAAGGAGTCTAACATGGAAGATATTTTGTTTAAATGAATAGTTATCCATTCTGTTTACTATTATCTTTAGGAACTTGTTTAATTTTTATGTCCTCACAAATTTTGGACTGTTAACAGGTGAGATGTAATATACTTAAACTCAGAAAAGGCCAGGATAGCTGTAGGTCCTACCAGCTAAGAAAATTTGCAGTGAAATATGTTAGTTCTAAGACTCTGCTTAGGATATTACTCTTTCTACCTAAGCTTGTCTCTCATTGGACCTACTCTGTTCTCTTGGGCATTAAGCTTTCTTTAATCCACTTACATGTTCCTCTGAGGATAGAGATAACAAGAGTATCAGCCTAACAGCCATTCTCACAGAATCTCTTCTAGTTGATCCAGGAATCTGACTATCCATTAGCTATAGAGATTGCCTTCATATTCCAGCAGAAAAGAGAAGAGAAGGCTCAGTTCAAGGCAACAAGGGAGCTGTAGGCAACCAGACTAGTCTGATCAGGAATATTTGGGAGTTAGTAATTTTGATCCTAGTTTCTGAGTCATAGGAGTCAGGGAACCAAGAGAACCTGGCAGTGACATGTAAGAGACATTAGAAAATAGGAATATTGGGTTTTACATAACAAAAGAAGAGTTTTTGGTTGTGTTGAAGGAGAGGCAGGCATTTGGTTTAGAAGTAAATTAGGATAGGTGTACTTTTGGTGATAGTCTGCATGCTGGTCAATGAAATAATACCATTTTGGATATTTTTCTTTGTTTTATAGGTCCGTTTTTTTTGGGTCCCTTTTTGTATCATGACAATTCCTATGTATGAGCAATTATATCCTGAGTTATGAACAATTCTTTTCTTTCTCTTTCTGAAAAATAGGGCAGCTTTGTAGCTGGAAAATACAAGTGTCTTCTCTGTCAGAAGGAATTTGTGTCAGAGAGTGGTGTCAAGTATCATATCAACTCTGTCCATGCTGAGGTGAGGTTCTTCTTTGCCCGTGTTATTTGTTTCATTCTATGGACCCTGGATTTAAGCCTTAAGAGAGTGAATTTTGTCCCTGTTTTACGGAATAGGTCTCTAAAATTAGATGTTTGATTGTATTTTTCTGTGAAAGCATTTGAAATGTGCAGTGTGACTGTGAGCATCCTGGAGCTCTTCTAATTTTTTTTAAATTAATTTTAATGAAAGTTTACATAGACTTAGAGTTTCTAGTCATTCATTGTTGCACTTTTCTCCCTGCCCACACCCTCCCCCAATTCAGTCTTCTTGAAAAGTAAAAGTCTTTCATTGTTATGAAATCCCTCCCCCCAAGTCCACTCCACTATGTAGCCTTCATTCTGGACTCCTATAATGGCAGTAATACCCAGTCATATATCTCTTTTAAACAGTTCTCTCCCTCATCTGTTTCAATGCAGTATACATAATTCCTCCTCTCCTTCTCTCTTACCTCAATCCCGATGTCAGTCCCATTTTACAATGTAAAACATGTAACATTTGTCTTTTTGTGACTGAGATATTTCACTCAGCATCATGTTCTCCAGGGTCATCCATTTTGCATAATAGTTCATGAGTTCCTTGTTTTTCAATGCTGCATAGCATTCCATTATGTGAATATACCAGAGCTTCTCTATCCACTCGTTTGTTGATGGGCACTTAGGTTGTTTCCAGCTCTTTGCTATTGTGAACAAAGCTGCAGTAAACATGGGTGTGCATGTATCTGCTTCAGTGGCAGTTATGGTTTCTTTAGGGTATATTCGCAGTAGGGGAATTGCTGGTTCAAAAGGTATTTTTATTTCCAACTTTTTGAGAAAGCGTCATACAGCCTTCCGTAGTGGTTGCACCATTTTACACTCCCACCAAAAATGAATAGGAGTTCCAGTTTCTCTACAGCCTCGCCAGCATTTGATGTTTGCTGTTAAATTTTGCTATTCTTACTGGGGTGAGAATATATAGTTGTTTTGATTTGCATCTCTCTTAGAGCTAGGGATTTTAAACATTTCTTCATGTGTGTGTTTGATATCTTCTTTGATGAAGTGTCTGTTCATATCCTGTGTCCATTTTTCAATTGGGTTATTTTCCTTTATCATGTTGTGATACTCGAGTATTTTGTAAATTTTAAATATAAGCCCCTTGTCTGACATGTCATTACCAAATACTTTTCCCCAGTCTTTGGCTTCCCTTTTTACCCTGTTGGAGAAGTTTTTGGATGTTTATAGGGATTTGATTCTTAGACGGTCCCATTCATCTATTTTATCCTCTCTTGGTTGTAGATTTTCCAGGATGCTTGGAAGACTGTTTATGTTGTGGATTAGGACTTCTAGAGTTCTTCCAAGCTTTTCTTTCATTAAGTTTATAGTCCTTGTTTTTAGTCCTAGGTCCATAATCCACTTTGAATTGGTATTTGTATATGGAGTGATGTGTGGATCTTGCTTGAGTTTTCTGCAAATAGTTTTATAATTTTGCCAACACCATTTGTTAAAAAAGCTGTCATTTCCCCACTTAACTGATTTCATCTCCTTGTCAAAAATCAGTTGGCCATAGGTAGATGGGCGGATTTTTGGGTTCTCAGTTCTATTCCATTGATCTTTGTGCCTGTCATTGTACTAGTACCACGCTGTCTTGAGTACCACAGCAGTGTAGTAGGATTTGAAATCAGGGAGTCAGATGCCTCCTACCTTGTTCTCTTTTTAAGGAGTGCTTTGCTTATTTGGGGCCTCTTTCCATTCCAAATGAAATTAGAGATTGCCTTTTCCATTTCACTGAAGAATGTAATTGGTATTTGTATTGGGATTGCATTGAACGTGTAAATTGCCCATGAACAAGGGATATTCTTCCACCTCTCCAGGTCTCTTTTTGTTTTTTGTAATAATGTTTTGTAAGGAGGGACTGGTCCTTAGAGAGGGATATCATGCTTGGTAGGGTAGAGGGACAGCTCAGGAGGGGAAGGCCCTCTAGGAGGTGCATTGATTCAGTGACTAGGGTAATCGTGATGGGTGTATCAGAGACAGGGCGATTGGCACAGGACAGAGCAGAGTTTAGGGCTTGCTGTACATAGGGTTGCTATTAGTGGCAAACAACATGGCACATAACAACAACAGTTTTCTTTGAATAGATCCTTTGTCCTTCTGGCTAGGTTTACTTCTAAGTATTTAATCTTGTGATTAGCTATTGTGAAGGGTATTGTTTTTCTTAGCTCCAGTTCTGTGTTCTCTTTCTCAGTGTAGAGAAATCCAGTTGATTTTTGTATGTTGATCTTGTATCCTGCCACTTTTCTGAATGGGTCAACTATGTCCAGTAGTTTTCTTGCAGAGTCTTTAGGGTTTTCTAAGTATACTATCATATCATCAGTATAGACAAATAATTTTACCTCGTTTTTGCCAATTTGGATACCTCTTAATTACTTCTCTTGCCTTATTTCTATCGCTAGACTTCCAATACAATATTGAATAGGAGGTGATACTGGGCATCCTTGCCTAGTTCCTGTTCTTGATGGGAATGCCTTTATTCTCTTTCCATTGAGAACAATCTTGGCTCTCAGGTTTGCGTATATACTTTTTTATTATGTTGAAGAAATTCCCCTGTATTCCTATTTTGTTGAGTGTTTTAAGCAGGAAACAGTTTTGAATTTTGTCAAAGGCCTTTTCTGCATTAATTGATAGAATCAATGGGGTTCTTATTCTTTGCTTTGTTAATGTGATGAATTACACTGATTGTTATATTGACCTATAGTTTTCCATTTTGGTGATGTCTTTACCTGGCTTTGGCTTCAAGGATATGTTTGCTTCATAGAATGAGTCTGGGAGAATTCCATTCCATCTTTTTCTTTTTTCTGAAATAGTTTCTGTAGGATTGGTAACAGTTCTTCTCTGAATATTTGATAAAATTCACTTGTAAAGCCATCTGGTCCAGGACTATTTTTTCCTGGAAGTTGTTTTATTACCTTTTCAATTTCTGCTTTTGTAATGGGTCTGTTCAGGTGTTCAGTTTTAGTTGGTTGTCCATTTCCTCTAGATTTTCATTCTTGTAACTCTTTTAAATTCAATTAATTTAGGCATTTGAAAATTTGGTATTTCCTTGTGGTTTTTATACTTCCACCCTTTTTAGCATTCAAACATCCTCTAGGTTTTAGAACTGGGTAAAAATGGTTATAAAGGAGATAATCATGAAAATTTGAATAATGATTATATTACATAAGAAAATCTTGTCTATGTGATCATTTTATTTTAGTTATGTATAAGAATGCCCTTGTTCTTAGGTATATGCATGGTGAAGTATTTAGGAATCACTTTATGATGTTTGCAACTAACTTGAAAACAAGAGAAGGGAGGAAGAGGCAAGATGAGTAAGAAAAGGAAGACAAAGAAAAATTAATAATAGTAAGATGAAAGTTATATAAGTGTTTATGGAATAGAAACTTTTTTGAAGGTTTAGGAGTTTTTAAATTTACAAATAAGACTACTGTGGAAAGCTCAGAAGATGAATATTTTTCTATTGACAGACCTTTTTAGTAGTATAAGTGATTAGAGAGATAAATTATTCTAACATAAAATACTTGTATAAAAACTCAAGAAATAAGAATGTGCATTCCCTTTGAATATTTTACTAGAGAAACTATGTATATATTACTAGTTGTGGGTTAGGGGAATATAGATATAGAAAGTAATTTCAACTCTTTTCTGCCCTCAAGAATTCTTAACAGGTTTTAATTACTTTCATCAAATATATGCCTATTTGTTCCTTTTCCTAAGAAGGGTGATCCAACTGAATGTAGAAATTATTGAACAATATCATTGATATTAACATGCAAGCAAAATACTGCTGAAGATTATTCAAAAACAGCTGGAACAGTACATAGATAGGGAATTGCCAGAAGTGCAAGCAGGATTTAGAAGAAGTTTTGGCACCAGGGATATCATTGCTGATGGCAGATGGATCCTGGCTCATAGTAAAGAATACCAGAAGAATGTTTGTGCTTTATTGACTATGCAGAGGCGTTCGACTATGTGGATCATGACAAGTTGTGGCTGACATTGAGAAAAATGGGAATCCCAAAGCACTTGATTGTGGTCATGAGGAAACTATACCTGGATCAGGAAGCTGTTATTTGAAATGAGCAAGGGAGCACTGCATGGTTTGGAATTGTGAATTTTGATACAGTTGCTGGGACCCTGAAGTGAGTTGAGGCTTCTTCACTGAGATTCATGTAGTTTTATAGGGACCTCACTAGGTGGTGGAATGGGCTAGAAATGAGGTGGTAGCTTCCCACTAGACTCCAGAAATGTATTTTCATTTAGGTAAGCACTATATGTCCCATTATTCACAAAAGAGTTAAAGTACCCAGATTATGTGTTATACATTCATTACTTAGAGGGACTTCTGTGTCTTGAATTTCTCCAACTTAAAAGAGGATGGTCCAGGTTGTAGTTCCATGCTAATTGATTTTTACTGTGTTCTTATCTTAATTCTGTCTTATTTCTTCTTCTTGCCCTTGATCTCTGTGCTTTCTATTACACACTTATTAAATGATTTATTTATTTTGCCCCTAGGATTGGTTTGTTGTAAACCCAACAACAACCAAGAGCTTTGAAAAACTGATGAAGATAAAGCAGCGCCAGCAAGAAGAAGAAAAGCGGAGGCAACAGCACCGGAGCAGAAGGTCATTGAGAAGGCGGCAGCTGTCGGGCAATGAGCGTTCTGAGGCAGAGCTGAGCCTTAGAGTAGGGAAGGATCAGAAACAAAGTAATGAGGAACTGGTAGTGTCGACCTCCTGTAAGGAATCAGAGCAGGAGCCCGTTCCAGCACATATCCAGAAAGTGAAGCCCCCAAAGACTACTCATAAACGTGGGAGGAAGCATAGGCAGTCAGTGTGAGAGTATTCCTTCCTAGACTGCATGTGATATTGTCATGGGGACCGATGCTGGAAAGACTTGAGTCATGGGGGCTGAGCAGAGGGAAATGTACTTCAGCTGTCTGTGACTTTCTCAGCTTCTTCCTCCTGTGTAAATGTCCCTGTTTTCCCTACTTATTCACTCCTCCTCCCCCTTTTTGGTAGATTTTACTGCTATTCTTAACTGGAGTCCTCTTGTTTTTCTGACTCGTATCTTGCCCAAAGAGCTCCCTCTTATGGCCAGCTATAGGCCTCTCTTGCCCTGTGTAAAACTACGAAACTTGTTTGGTGTCCTTTCCTTCCTGAGTGTAGAATGTTCTTGGAAGCTCCATTGATTTAGTAACCGCTCCATCATCTAGCTTATAAAACAATTTCAGACTGAGTTTTATGATCATAACTGATTTATCATTTTGTATTTGTGATATAAAATGCCTAGAAACTAGAAATGTTGTCATTTATGTCATAGGGTTAACCTGTCTCCTTGGCAAACAAATTTCATTGAAGCTGTTTGTTAAAAGTTTTAACAAACAATCCAATGTGATTTTTAGGACTGACCGTAAGAAAATGGATTTAGGATGAAAAAAGCTAGACCCTCCTTACTCTGGATAGACTGGAAAATGTTTATATCAAGTAGCAGTGACTAACTAGACCCACAGGCATGAAAAGCAGGCTTAGGAAGAAATGTCAGAATCACTACAAAGAAGAAAGTAGAAACAGCAATAAATATTGCCCCAACTTTCCTGGGACCTAAAGACTCTACTGTTGCTTTGAATAATGCCAGCCTGAAAATCACTCTTGCTACCTTGATTTTCGGATTGAGAACTCTCACATTGCTCCTAATGTTGTAACCCAGTGCTCCTAGAAATATATAAATGTTAGTAGACAAAGTGCACATTCCTTCTCTTGGATTTACCTCACATACGAAACTCCCAAGAGTCTTGTTTATCCCTGTAGTCATCCACTTGTCTCTGAAATTTCTGAGAATATGGCTCTTCCATGAAGTTGTCCTTTTTTATGTCCTGAGACTTTGATACCAGATAAAGACACTTATATGGAGGGGAAAGAAAAATTCTTTTTCTGAACTTTATGCCTATCTGGTCTTGTCTCATAAGCTCTTTTCTCCTTGATGCTGATTTTCTCTAGAGCGTCAGTTATACCAGCTTTCTTGTCATGTTTCTGGATTCTCTGCCCCTTTTTCCTAATATGGGTCTTATATCCTCTGCCTATTTGTCGGGCATATTGCCACATAGAAAATTCAGGCTCTTTTCCCCCATGTGGGCATAGACTACCCTTCCAAATTCTGAAAGGCTAGCACCATTCTTTTGTGCTCCTCTGCATAGCTTTAAAATGTGAGCTTTTGTGAAGCCCACTTTCAAATTAGGGAGCATTGAAACTTGATTTATATACTGCTAGAATAGGTAGTTTTAAAACAAGTGAAGTACCCAGTATATAAGGAGTTATGGTGGCTAAGTGGTAAAGAGTTGTGCTGCCAACCTAAAGGCACATGATTGCATTCACTAGCTGCTCCACAGGAGAAAAATGGTCAGTTTGTTCCCATGAGATTTTCTGCCTCTGAAAATGTGCTGGAGGGTCAGCTATGAGTCACTTCTTATGTAATGATACATAACAACAAAAACCTGGTATATTAATTTTCACTGGAAATTTTACCTTTAAAGCCATTTCCGTAGATAAGGGTTGCCAGGGAGGAGAAATGAAGAAGCTATGTTTAAGTACTGGTGAGTAAGAATTGAGACATGCTTGGCAATGATGAAAGAAATAAATGACTGTTGTTTAGAATGGTGTTTCCCGTTGTTTATTGACTCCAGTCTGTGTGCGTAAAGAGATGGTTGGTAGTGAGTGTGAGTTTGGAATAAATTCTAAATGCAGATGTCTAATTCTTCAGTTCCTGAGCTGTATATACTGATTGAAATGAAAAATTTGAAATTTACCTCAGGGTTCTAGTAGACACTTGTTTTACTTTTCCTAAGGCTAGGGATCATAGAGCTCTGGTGGCCTTGTGGTAAGGAATTGGACTGCCGTTGCAAAGGTGGTGGTTTTTGTTAAGTGCCGTCAAGTCGCAGGCGTCTCATAGCGACCCTATGAAGGAGAGTCCTCAATGCTTGGGTGTCTCTCATCCTCT